TAGGTAAATATTCCGAGGAAGATTTTAAACTATCAGAACTGTTACGCACTAATAGGTAAATATTCCGAGGAAGATTTTAAACTATCAGAACTGTGACGGCACTAATAGGTAAATATTCCGAGGAAGATTTTAAATTATCAATTAGTGCGTCACAGTTCTGATAGTTTAAAATCTTCCTCGGAATATTTACCTATTAGTGCGTCACAGTTTTAGTAACCGTAATTTTTAAAATGCCCTTGAAGTTCCTTCAATGAGTATATTTTTCAACAATGCATTTAACCAACTAAGATTATATATGTATACATATTGAATACAGGCTCTGGAAAGCAGTCTCAAAAAAAAAGTCACGAAAATGATTAATAACGATAAACTGTGTATTCTTCTTTTTATCTTTTGTTTGTTTAAATTAGATAGGTTGATGACTATTACTTTTATATTATTGGAATTTCCTGACAGTTCTTCCTACAAGCAGCTTTAATATAAAATACATTCCTGTTGCGTTGAATTTAAGTTGTTTACACTTTTACTATACTTTTTCTTTACGTTTTTTCCAGTCTGTCCTTAATATACGTAAACTTAAAACATGGTAAATTTAAAACTTATTTCATGCCTCATAACAATCTTTTTTACTTGAGTTATAATACACAACCTGATATTCTGTGGATCTAAGTTTGTCTATACACTTTAATTTTAGAAAACCATCAATTATTACTACGGTAACATCAAACCTAATATCAGATTTTTATTTTCAGATTTACTAATGGCAGCTAGTACACCAATCGAGTCGTCTAGAATCGCACCCTATATCAACGTCAGCAGTACGTCACCTAGGTTGCCACAAGAGCGCTACCTGGTGCCAACTACGCATTATCTACCTTATGCAGATCCTGCCTTTTTAGCGGCTGCTCATCAATATTCGGTGGCCGCGGCAGCAGCAGCACAAGTAGTACATGGTACACAACCCCATCCGAGTTTCTTTTTGTATCCCACTCCCACCCACCCTTTTAGTCTGTCTGCTCTCTTGGCAGCTGATAGGCTGAATAATAAAAACACCAGTATTGCTGATCTGAGGTTAAAGGCGCAGAAACACGCGGCTGCACTAGGCCTGTAAGCTATTAGTTCAGGAGTCATGAATTATTCGCACTCTTACTTTTTGTTTTGGAGTCATGGTAATGTGAGGTACATTATCTGTGGTTGAGTGAAATCAAGAACTTATTGTACCAAATTATATCATAGGCGATTAATTGTCGCACAACATTCACATGAAAAATAGAATCTTATGTTAAAGAATTACTAACTGAATGTTTTTTGTTTTTTTTTACTCTTAATACTAATTGACCTGTTGCTACTGCATAAGTTGGATATGAAGATGTGACTTGGGAATTTGTAAGTATATAGGCTCCATGAAAACAAAGACAATATACTTGTGTCGTGGTTTCCTTCTGATCTGGCAGTTTGTAGGTATGAGAGACCTGTCACCTGTGATTTTATATTATCATAATGATGAATGTGAAATACTGAAATTAATTCTCTAGTGAATACTTTGCTTACAAACTGTAAAAATGTTGTTTCATTTGTTCTATTCTAACTGCCTTTAGTGATATAAACTCATATATTTCACATCATTATCGTATTCTACATATAACCATTTTCTCTTTTTAGCAGATAGCCATACCGGTGTGTGGAAATAATAAACGATACTAACACACATTTCTTGTAACCGGTGTTAGATTTTGTTCCTGTCAACATTATTAAACAAATGGAAAGTTCTTAATTAAACTTCTTGTAAAAATTGTCAAATTCTGTCAATATTATAAAATTAATAAAGAATATTTTAATTCTTTTTGTAACTGGTGTCAGGTTATATTTTTCAAGTTCTTAAACTTCATGAAAATTTATCAGATTTTTTCCTCTTTCATCATTATTAAGTCAAGAAATACTTCTTAATCTTCTTGTAACTTAAATGGTTTTTCTAAGAAGAGAAAACAATATTAACATCAACAAAATACAATTATTTATTGGACAATGGAAGTATTATTACATGTATAATATTAAGCAACTATTACTCAGTTCGTTTCATCTTGTCCAACCGTCACTGTGAATTAGGCTTAACCCTTAATTCAATTCGTTAAATTCAGTTAAAGTATTTGTTGTTATATCTGTTTATTTTAACATCCACCTCCTAGACGTAAAGATTTAAAAGATTCATAACAATGACAATATTGTGATTATCTTCAGATTAGTGGTTTGATGATTCAACAAACCATAAAATGCACTGCAGAACTGGGCAAACTATCTGTTTAATTCAATTTACTTTTAATTTCTTATAGCAGTAAATTATACGTTGATTAATATTATTTAATTATTACCCACTTAACTGGCTTGTTTAGAACTGACAGACTTGTCGAGAAATGAAACTTAATAATTTACTGTATAATATATCACGCAATCACGATTTATTTAAGGTCGCGTTTTTTTGTTTCCATTTGTACTAGTAGAAGCATTACCGTCTGTTTTGTTAGCCTTTTTTTCTTACGAAATATATGTGAGATGTCTGCTTTGTATTAGAACGGAACAGATATACAATGGGCTATCTGTGCTCTGCCCACCACGTCGTAAGTCTGCAGACATACCGCTGTGCCACTGGGGGCAGAACAGGTTCAAAAAATAAATAAATAAAAAGGCGACGGAACGTTTGTAATCGTTTAATGAATTATTGGAAGTGTTTCAAATTGAAGACTGATCGTTAAAGTTGGTGTTATAATAACGAAAATCGAGAGCATGCGCAAATGGAAAAAATTAACTCTAATATCGCTAGTTTCTCACTCATTACAATTAGGACAGGTCTTTGATAATCTTTCGTCAAGTTCGTTATTACAATCTTCTCACTTCCGTCCATTTTTGTTTGATCTTCTGCTCGAAGAAATCTGCATCTACTAGAACAAACAAATAAACAATAAACATGTCTTAAATAAAGCAGGAAAACCAAGATAGATTAATTTTCTTCTTGGTATTTAAGCAAACTAAGCCTATTCACACTCTGAACTAATAAATGATATTCCCAAAATTTAAACGTATTTTGCTGACTCTTTTCTAAAAATTCACCAATTTTCTAGTGAGTTTTTTTACTTTTGTTATTCTATATTCTTATCTTTTGAAGCGCCATTTTCTTTGGATGCAATTAGTATTGATGAAAAATAATAACATTTCATCAAACATATGTATATTTGAAATAAGAAATTTTCTCTTTTTACCTATATCGCTTTATTCTCACATGAGAAAGGTCAAGTCAAAGAACGTAATTGAATTCTAAGGGCTTGGTGGCACAAAGACATCATATTCTTAGTTTGTTATATCAAAATCATATTATGGTTTTATTTTCGGTAACCTATTAAAGGAAACTGCTAATAATACTGAGCTTATCATGATTAGGTCAACACATAATAACTAATGCAATACCTCTATATATTGTTATAACATCTAAGATTGTGAATCTATCTGCTTTATCTAATGCGAACGCTAATGATTAAGAAGTAAAATTTTAACCAAGTCAAATTCTCATTCTTTTTCTTTGACTTAAAACAAAGATAGTTCATGCCCTGCATTCAGCTCTCACGCCATTTTATCCATTCATTCTGCCGACAACTTGTGATTTGTGTGAAAATTGGAAGATATATTTAAATTCGATGAGTGAGTATTTTGATTAATAGCTAATTTGTAATCCACAGACAATAAGATATACTTTACAAAGAATCGAAAGACATACTTTTTGTGGGTTCTTGGTGATTGTACCAAAAAAGCTCAATAAGTACACTTGGCACCAATGTATTTCGAATAATATAAAAAGGAGTTCATTTATATTATATATCCATGTATATACATCCAAGTTTTGTTTTTGCAAATAAAGAAATCTTGGGAGTTCATGTGGTCGATTTTAAACCTAAATATGAAAGTGTTCATACTACGATAGTTTCGAATGCAGTGCGAAGTACTATGATGATTTATTAGAAAAACATTAAAGTCTGGAAAATCTAAGAATTGGTTATTTTAAAAGTATTAAACATATAGATACCGCCCCCCCCTCCTCTCTCTCTATATATATATACATAAGTATATATATACACACACACACACATTCAATGTAATAATAACTAATGCTAGGAAATTAGTTCTTAGGGTTACGCTAAATTATACTGTAATGTTTGTTTGTTGTAAAGTACAAAGTTTCACAAAGAGCCATCTTTTCTCTGCTCACCACGAGTGTCGAAACTCGATTTTTAGCGTTATAAGCCCTAAGACTTACCGCTGACCAACTTTGAGGCGTGTAATGTTAATGATAAAAGTTTTTCAAACGTTCTTTTGGAAATAAAGGAAATCTGTATAGCACATGTTTAAACGTTTTTAAAAAGGAAAAGCCAATTAAAACATGTCTTGAGAACCAGAAAAAGAAAAACAAAACATAGGTAACGTTGAATAAAAATACAAAGAATGATTATGATACTTTCCTTATTTCATACGACACTGAAGAATAACTCTTCGCTGCTATAGGAACCTTAAAAATATGGTTTGACATAGTAGAAGTATTAAAGATGAATTACTATCATTGTATCATTACATCTAAAGAATGGTGAAGCGTTGTTGTATTGGTTTTCTCAGTTCTCAAAGTTCAATAACACAAAGCTCCGCGTTTGGTTATAATGGATTTTTTTGGGCAACTCCACATTTCGGTCATTGACAACTTTCCTAGGTCGTACTTCGACTATTTGATTTGACACATCACATGCATTTTGATTTTCAATTAGTTCCACGTGTTAAACAAGTTATCACTACCATGATATATTTGATTCCTTTATTTTACGTTGTTTGTGATCCTAGAATATCAACGTCTACTTTTCCACGTGGTGCTCCAACTCTTGTAATTATCCATTCGTTTAACAGCACAAGTCCCAGAAACGGCACCACGTCTTCCTCAGGTTTTTAGTACCTAAGCTAGAAACATCTCTTAGGAACGATTTTCAACTCATAATTGTCCTAGTTCCAGAATGTTATGAAGAAACAAAGAGTTTCTGATGAAAGAAAGTTTAATGTCAACTAAAATCTCTTATAAATTCCCTCGAAATATGTAATAACACATATAGTTCAATTTAGCCTCACTGAGTTCAATTTGTTTAGTAAGTTGACTGTGAGGGCTTTTGTTTGGCCAAGCGGTCTTCCATCTTTAATGCTAGCCCATTTAATGAGAGGCCCCATACTTGTATACTAGACCTGGGCAACTTAAATGTTTTTCTTTGAACGAATTACCTTTCTGCAATTACAGTTCTGACACTTTGAATCCGTTGATTTTCACAGAACTTATAGCCTTCTTTTGTACACAGCCCACATTTCTAAAAGTCTGTTTCATTTACTTCAGCAGATCTATGAACTGAACGTAAGAAATTGTTACTGCACTACGTATTAATGTATTTTAACTGAACTATAAATTGTATTAATCACACGTTTATCCTTCTAAGAGAAGATATAGCATTGAGATAGTTAATTTGTAACCTGAAATCCAGATTGTAAGATGGCTAAAGATACTCCATAAATACAATTTTACTATACTGAATTGTATCATCACTTCTTCATGTGCATCTTGCAATTATCCTAATACAGTTCCTATTGTAGAGTCGCTGGTATATGTGTAGAGGATTTTCTTCGGAATGGTGAATGTTTGTCTCGTTTTATGACTTCTCCAACATCTAGTGATGAGGCAGGCTATCTAAAAACCAGTCTCGAAATAATAAATACACAGAAATCCACTAATTTCGTGCACATATATTTATATTGGTAATTAGTATTAACCTCCGATCAGAACAAGCTATGCACAAAGGTTTTTAGCTTCAACTGTTGTTGGATATAGGGATATAAGTCCTCTTATTCAAAAAAGAATAGTAGGTGGAGAATTAATTCTAAATTTTTGAGTCATATTTTACGTTTTTCTTCCTTTCTTGGTCCGCAAAATACCTTCCTTAAACCGTCAAAGACATCAGTGAAGGTCTTTATAATAGTTATGACGTCATAAAGTGGAATGAACAAATGTTATATGTAGTAATTCAGTTAGCACTCACCCCGTCAAAGTTTTGAAAT